CAAATTCTCGCCTTCGATTGTGAACCAATATCGAAATGTGGCATAGATTAAATCCCAGTTTTTTGTTCACTTCGTTTCTAGTGTATACTTCCTTGTCATGTTAGCAACCTCAAGTTTAATGAATAAGCCCCAACTCTTTTACAACCTGTCCAATACATCTACATTAGAATGAAAGAAATCACGATCGATTTAGTACAAATGCAGTAATATCCTACAAATTCATTGATAAAATATTACGGCAAATGCTTTGCAAATCTCGGCAATTCCATAATATTATGTGAATTATAGCTTGATAAATTGAAAATTGCAGTGGAAACAAATAAAACGCAACCATAAGGGCCAAATTCTCAGCTTCGATTGTGAACTAATTTCGAAATGTGGCATAGATTAAATCCCAGTTTCTTTGTTCACTTCGTTTCTAGTGTCTACTTCCTTATCATATTAGCAACCTCAAGTTTAACGAATAAACCTCAACTATTTAACAACCTGCCTAATACATCTACATATTTTAGAATGAAAGAAATCACGATCGATTTAGTACAAATGCTGTAATTTCTTACCAATATATTGATAAAATATTACGGAAATTCCAAAATGTTATATGAGTTATAGCTTGATTAAATTGAAAAGTGCAGTGGAAACAAATATAGCGCAATCATAAGGGCCAAATTGTTGCCTTCGTTTGTAAACCAATTTTGACATGTGACATAGATTAAATCACAGATTTTTTTCACTTCGTTTCTAGTGTATACTTCCTTATCATGTAAGCAACCTCAAGTTTAACGAGTTAGCCCAAACTATTTAACAACCTGTCCAATACCTCTACATCTTTTAGAATGAAAGGAATCACGATCGATTTAGTACAAACGCAGTAACTTCTTGCCAATTCATCGATAGAATATTACGGCAATTGCTTTGCTCACTTCGTTTCTAGTGTCTATTCCTTATCATGTGAGCAACCTCAAGATTAACGAATAAACGTCAACTATTTAACATCCTGCCCAATACATTTACATATTTTAGAATGAAAAAAATTACGATCGATTTAGTACAAATGCAGTAATTTCTTACCAATTTATTGATAAAATATTACGGAAAGTCCATAATATTATGTGAATTGTAACTTGATTAAATTGAAAATTGCAGTAGAAATAAATAAAGCGCAATCATAAGGGCCAAATTCTCTGAATTATAGCTTGATTAAATTGAAAAGTGCAGTGGAAACAATTAAGCGCAATCAAAAGGGCCAAATTCTCGCTTTCGATTGTGAACTAATTTCGACATGTGGCATAGATTAAATCCCAGATTTTTATTCACTTCGTTTCTAGTGTATACTTCCTTGTCATGTAAGCAACCTCAAGTTTAACGAGTTAGCCCAAACTATTTAACAACCTGCCCAATACATCTACATCTTTTAGAATGAAAGGAATCACGATCGATTTAGTACAAACGCAGTAACTTCTTGCCAATTCATCGATAGAATATTACGGCAATTGCTTTGCAAATCTCTCTCAAAAGCGTGTTTTCAAGTAAATGTTTTTTGGTAAACTGAAAAAATCGGTGGAAACGACTGGATGTCGAATGTTCGATTAAATTCCAATTGTTAATTTAAACAGTTTACTTTCGTCAATCCAAAATGAGTAAACACGGTTTCATTTCAATCGAAATTGATTCCATATTAAATGTGAGCATTTTGACATCAGTAGCTTACCAGAAATTATGTCTTCTGTCACCTTTTTGGACAATATAATTGCCATGATCGCAAATAAAAAAATAAAGCGCAATCATAAGGCCCAAATTCTCGACTTCGATTGCGAACCAATTTCGAAATGTGACTCAGATTAAATCCCAGTTTTTTCTATCAGCATTTGCATTTTATTATGTGAATTGTAGCTAGATTAAATTGAAAAGTTCAGTGGAAACAACTGGGTATCGAATATAAGATTAAATTCTAGTCGTTTCTATCAACATTTTCGCTTTCATTGATCTAAAATTAACATACCCAAATAAATCAATTTCAATCGAAATTTGTTCCAGTATTGCCAGCACTTCAAGTTTGTGTTTTGACTTGATGAATTGAAAATAGCTTTGGGTTTGAAAATTACACCCTTTCAATGCGGTGAATATAGTTTGACGTATAATACGCTGATCCTAGGGTTTCTCCTTTGATTTTCAATTGTTTTTATCTCCTGTATCAAAAGAGTTTTGGTAGTATGGAATAAATAACTTGTTTACTTGGTTTCTAATGTGTTCTACCGAAACATGTAAGCAACCACAAGTTTCCAGAATAAACCCAAACTATGTAACATGTAGTCGCGATTAATTTAGTATAAATTAAATAATTCTTAAAAAAAACATGGGTAAAATAATACGGCAATTGCTCTGCAAATCTGCCTAGAAAGCATGTCAGCTCAGTTCAGGACAGCGAAAATTTAGAAATATGCTTCGTTATCATGAAGCCAACCTCAAGTTTTCCGAATTTAGCCAAATTATCAGGGAACCTTTCCCAAACATCTACAACTTTTAGCATTATAGAAATCACGATCGATTTAACATATGTTGGATAATATATTACGGCAAATTGTTCCATGTTGAATGCGAGAATTTTTGCCCCAGAATTGAAATGTCTAGTGTTGATTTATAATCTCTACCATGTTGTTATATAATCACTAGTTTTGGTACCATTCTCTTTATAGAACAAGTGCTATTAAGACATCCATTTCGCATATAGTCTCTTCAAGTTTGTGTTTTGACTTGATGAATTGAAAATAGCTTTGGGTTTGAAAATTACACCCTTTCAATGCGGTGAATATAGTATGACGTATAATACGCTGATCCTAGGGATTCTCCTTTGATTTTCAATTGTTTTTATCTCCTGTATCAAAAGAGTTTTGTTTAGTATGGAATAAATAACTTGTTTACTTGATTTCTAATGTGTTCTACCGAAACATGTAAGCAACCACAAGTTTCCAGAATAAACCCAAACTATGTAACATGTAGTCGCGATTGATTTAGTATAAATTAAATAATTTAAAACAAAAAAAACATGGATAAAATAATATGGCAATTGCTCTGCAAATCTGCCTAGAAAGCATGTCAGCTCAGTTCAGGACAGCGAAAATTTAGAAATATGCTTCGTTATCATGAAGCCAACCTCAAGTTTCCCGAATTTAGCCAAATTATCTGGGAACCTTTCCCAAACATCTACAACTTTTAGCATTATAGAAATCACGATCGATTTAACAAATATTGGATAATATATTACGGCAAATTGTTCCATGTTGAATGCGAGAATTTTGCCCCAGAATTGAAATGTCTAGTGTTGATTTATAATCTCTACCATGTTGTTATATAATCACTAGTTTTGGTACCATTCTCTTTATAGAACAAGTGCTATTAAGACATCCATTTCGCATATAGTCTCTTCAAGTTTGTGTTTTGACTTGATGAATTGAAAATAGCTTTGGGTTTGAAAATTACACCCTTTCAATGCGGTGAATATAGTTTGACGTATAATACGCTGATCCTAGGGTTTCTCCTTTGATTTTCAATTGTTTTTATCTCCTGTATCAAAAGAGTTTTGGTAGTATGGAATAAATAACTTGTTTACTTGATTTCTAATGTGTTCTACCGAAACATGTAAGCAACCACAAGTTTCCAGAATAAACCCAAACTATGTAACATGTAGTCGCGATTAATTTAGTATAAATTAAATAATTCTTAAAAAAAACATGGGTAAAATAATACGGCAATTGCTCTGCAAATCTGCCTAGAAAGCATGTCAGCTCAGTTCAGGACAGCGAAAATTTAGAAATATGCTTCGTTATCATGAAGCCAACCTCAAGTTTTCCGAATTTAGCCAAATTATCAGGGAACCTTTCCCAAACATCTACAACTTTTAGCATTATAGAAATCACGATCGATTTAACATATGTTGGATAATATATTACGGCAAATTGTTCCATGTTGAATGCGAGAATTTTTGCCCCAGAATTGAAATGTCTAGTGTTGATTTATAATCTCTACCATGTTGTTATATAATCACTAGTTTTGGTACCATTCTCTTTATAGAACAAGTGCTATTAAGACATCCATTTCGCATAGTCTCCTTGGAAGTGGAGCTATAGAAAAGAGATTAATTTGAATTCCAAAACATCTAAAGTTTTCACTATGCGTTTTCGTGCTCGTTCTTTGCTTTTTGGAGTTATATGTATAGAAGCATTTATAAATGTTTCCTATAAAAATGCAATGATTTCGGTGCACGTGGTAATTTGTTAAGATATAAAGAACAGAATGTCTGTTTCTTGACTTTATGTGGACTGCTGCAAAAGAGGCAGAGCAAGTGCTACTTAATTATGCAGTAATTCCTTTTATTATGCTGGGTATTTTACTGCGGTGGTATATTCCGATAACAGACATACTAGCTTTTGAAGTTATTACCGTTGTTCGAACTAAGGCTTACATAGATGAGAAGCACAACAACAGTGTAAATTTGTTTCGATAATATTAGACTATAAAGCTATGTTATAATTTAATTGTTCTGTATTTTTATATATATTTTTAATATCAAACTATGTAATTACATTTTTAGTGGGGCCGAATCCATCTTGAACTCCAATACAATTTCAATTTATGATCTTAAAATTAAAGATGAAAATGTGCTGTGCTGCACGTGGTAATTTGTTAAGATATAAAGAGCAGAATGTCTGTTTCTTGACTTTATGTGGACTGCTGCAAAAGAGGCAGAGCAAGTGCTACTTAATTATGCAGTAATTCCTTTTATTATGCTGGGTATTTTACTGCGGTGGTATATTCCGATAACAGACATACTAGCTTTTGAAGTTATTACCGTTGTTCGAATTAAGGCTTACATAGATGAGAAGCACAACAACAGTGTAAATTTGTTTCGATAATATTAGACTATAAAGCTATGTTATAATTTAATTGTTCTGTATTTTTATATATATTTTTAATATCAAACTATGTAATTACATTTTTAGTGGGGCCGAATCCATCTTGAACTCCAATACAATTTCAATTTATGATCTTAAAATTAAAGATGAAAATGTGCTGTTTACCGCTAACTTCGACACTACCTTTCGAATGTACGATCGACGTTCGAACAAAGACGAGCATATATGGGAAGATCCGTTCGATTCGTCGTTTTACTGTCTGGAATACGATGGCTTATACGCAGTGTTATGCGGGACTAAACATCATAGTCGAGTAAACCTATATGACATACGTGTTCCATCAAAACACATGCAGTTATATTTCCCACAATCCCGAGACAAACGCCGAAGAGAGTTTAGATCATCTCCTGTATATAGTATAGCTTGTGATAGTCGATATTTATTTGTGGCCACAGATCGCAGTGTGCATGTAATGGACTTTAAGGTGAACTGTGGCACATGTAGAGACTACAGCAATATTAATGTCTTTCGGCAATAATAAATCAAAAATAAAGTATACTGGCACCGTTCAATCATCTCAAATCAATTTATTAATATATAAACATAAAAACAAAATACATTTGATATAAATAGTCAATAAAGATATAATTGAAGCAATAGAATTTGATAAATTTCAAATATAAGCAAAAAGACTAAAATGTTGTGCATTGTATATTTCGCGCCTTTGTATTTCGGATGGCTCGACATAGGTATACGACTTGAAAATGGCCAATTCACTACAAGTGAGAATTAGACTAAATGAGAAATTTATATGTGGTAAAACTCTTGTAATATTAGAAATCTGTTAAAACCGAGCTGACCAACAGAGCTGCATACCTGCGGAGGACGTGAGGCTATATACAGTATAGTACTATTTACGCTATCTACTACTGGTAAAACATAGACCAAAACATAATCGATTAAACGCAGCCTATAGGATAATATAGTGGAAGTAACGAGTTTTTAATGCTTAAAATAAATAAAGGCACCGTTTAAAAGCAAATTAAAAACTATCTCTGTGTTTCTTTTGGCGAATTATCATCATTGGATGCGCTCGACGTGTCGTCTAGTGGTGACATGCAATTTTCTCTTTTATCTGTTGTAGACGATTGTGAAGTAGCTGTGCATTTGTCGGACGTATCATTTAACGCAGCGGCTATTTCTCCGTTGAATTGAAGTAAACACCCCAAAGCGCCAAAGTACCCTTCGTGTTCCAGGAACAAACCCTTGAGGGTGCCATTTGACCAAAATTCCATTGCGTAAGCCAAAAGTTTCATGGCAATGGGATTTACACGCAAAAAATTACCAACAAATACCACCTGTTGGAAGTTTAAAAATAGATAATGATTCTTGGATAAGATTATATACAAATTATACATACCTTGTCCATCTTTTCGTTCAGCGCACACATACGAGCAATCAAACCTATGTTGTTTGTTATTGTAACTAGTGTTGCATTTGCGAGATCTTCACGTGATACGGACGACCGCTTATCTTTAAGGTGCATTTGTCCGAAGCTACAATATGTTGAAATTAACAAAATATGCAAAGGAAATTTTATCATGGACAAACCTAGAGGCCACAAGATCACCAGTTAAACCGAAACGGTCGTAATCACCGCCATATATATCTCGAACTAGTTTATCTACTTTCCGATTATCACCTTTGGTAGCAAGCTGAATTGCTTCTTCGAATGTATTGCAGCCCGTTAGTAAGCAACAGAGACCAAGGAAGGTACCACCTCCCAAACTAAAATAATGTATTTATATTTAATGTTACAATGCACAAACCTAAGGATTATCTTACCTTGTTCCCGAAACTCGTTTATAGTTATCCGGGCCATATACAGCCAATATTGAAACTCCAGAACCCACATTTACTAAAATAAATGGATAAGGCTGTGAAAAGTCGAACGCTTTCTTTTCACTTTTCCTACGGACAACAGTAAATATTAAATAAGTTTTATGTAATAATATTGATCTATAATTCAATAACATACATGATGTCTCTAGCATTTTCATAGTAATAACATTCCGTACGGTTTTGTATTTCAGCAAAAAGAATACCTTTAATTAAGGTATCTAGCTCATCAAATTTTGCTAACTTCATATTTACTTGCTGCAAAAATAAAATTGGAACACAAAAAATACATATCATTTAAGTGCACCCATCTGAAAATATAAGCTCATCAATTATCGCCTTAAAACAGCCGTAATGATATATGTCACCTTTGTCATACCGGTAAAATCATTCTGGCTTATTTCAGATAAATGCGTTTAAGTTAACAAGCAATAAGATATTGCAATACATTACTTACCTCTCGGAAATCATTTTCAAACTTAAAAGCGCCTCCTCCTGTTGCGCATACTGTTGTCACCAACTCTGCCATACCCTTCTGCTTGGCTAACGACAAAAAGTTGCCCATATCTGTGGTTTGAAAGCGTATAAAATGTAGCGATCCTTTCCTTTTTCGTATTTCCACATTGTCCATCTGAATACCAATTCATGTTGAAGATTGTAATTTTTTTTAAATTAATTAATAATTTAAATGCAGACACTTCTGTCGTTGTAGTTAGATGTTGTGTAAAGTACTATTGTTCGTTTAACATTGATGTTTAAATACGTTTTTGTGTAATTCTATCTTTAAAAATTGTGTTTAATGGTTATCAATATAATGATTGAGAAAACATATAAGCTTTGAAAACCGAGATAACCAAAATTATTATTTTATAGAAGGCTTAAACATATTTCTGTTATGAAAAAAAATTCTACGATCTATTTGATATTTAGAGTTTAAAGCTTGCTGCCCTTAAAATGTAATCTAGTATATACGAACATTATTACGGAAAACTTTGTTTGTGTATTAAATACCGAATTTCATAAATTTCAAATTGTTAATCCGCTTCCTTTTTCAATCACAGATTTTACATTGTCAACATGTAAATTTCCAAAACAGTAATCTGAGCACCCTTATTAAAAACGCAATTGTTATGCTAATTAAATGGCAATACTATGAGGCAATGGCAAATATCTACATACGTAAATGTCGCGTTCTATACGTGTACAAAGGTCTGTAGAATAACAAAGTGAACGAAATACAATTTTTATACTACTGTGAGTTTATATAAGCTTATATTCTTAATGGGGTGTCATTATATAAACATCGTGAAACTTTTATATATTATTTATAATTTGGCAGTACCGTATAAATTTTAAGAATTCATCACTCACCTGTAAATGAGCATCTCTATGGCCGGTTTTGCCATAAGCTGAATTTTTTGTTAAATAACGACGGATGCTTCGCAAACTTTCTGCCTCCTCATCTTGTTCACCGGGCGTAATATCCTTAGGCTCAAAATATACTAGTTTTGTAAGAGTGCCTCCAATGTCCATTCCAAACCAAGGCATGGCTAAAAATATTATGGAGGTAATAATTCGACATAACTTTAAATCAAATGTGTTCATATATAAGATATATTCTGTGTTACAATAAAAACTTTGAATCATGTATTTGCCTCATTCCACGAGTTTGTCACTATGAGGCATTTCAAATTCTCCTATCAGTAGTTTTGCGTAATATAGTACAAGAAACGCATACGTATTTACTTATATCTATTGGATTTTCAGCATTTCTCTTATCCCCTCGATAGCCAAATCGGTAACATTGACAAATTTGCGAGAATAGGACACAAAAACCAAAAGCAGACTGCTAGTACGAAAAGAGTTTCCTAAACTCAAACGGCATAATTCTTACGGAAATTGGCCATCAAATAATTAATGATCAAATTCATTGAACTTATCAAAATCGGTAGAAGTGACAATGGACAAGTAAATATTTCGAATGAATTCAAACCTACTAGCCGATCTAATAAAAATTCACATACGAACTTTTAAGAATGTATATGTAATTATAAATACTAAAGGTGGCGTGCTTATCAGTCGGTCGGCAATATAAACAAAATTTCGACGTGAGGGGTAAGCAACTTACTTTAATAGCCAATCATATCGACACTATAGAAACAAAATGCAGTATTAAATAACTTGAATTTTGAAAAGATATCTGGTAATAAAGTATTCTGGAACCGTGAAAAAATACAACTTACATAGGTACTCATCCTCTGGACGGGAAGCAGTACACGAACAAGAATTAGTTATCTTTTCCCCGCGTTCTCTCCCTATTGTTTTGTATGATCGTTGTCTAGAATTAAATGGACTATTTTGAGGTGTGTTACAAATCTTCGAACCACTGCGCCATGGGCTTTTTCTGGCATGAGTCTTTGGGGTTTTGTGCATTGTAATAACAGGAACGGCAAATGTAGTACAGGTACACTTCTTTTCGGTGGAATTTTGTAATTTCATCAATTTTAAATTACATGAAAACTTTGATACATCTCGTCCAGTTACTTTCATGATTTCTAGCTTGACAAGCGAAAATCACGTCGTAAATTGCACATTTATTTTTGAATTACAATTTTACGTGTTTATAAAACAAACGCGGAACCGGTTGAAGTTAAACTGATTGAAGTCGTGGTTGAAAACTGAATGAAATTTCAAAATCGAAAGTCCAAAATGATGGTCAATACATTTAAATGAACAGATCTATAAACAAATTGGGTTTTGCAACGAGTGTTGCCTCTCCGTGCTCTTCAAAATGTTATTAACAAATTCAAACGAGAGCCAATGAGAAAGTGAGAGAGTAAATTATTTTCGCAAAGTAATGAACGAAGCCCCGCAGAAAGAGCCAGACGAACACGATTACTGAGAAGGCTCGCAAGAAGATAGCAACTGAACACTCAAATCACCTGAGTCGTCGGCGATTACAAACGCCTAATCGTATAACAAAGACAAATAGTATTCCTATCTCGCGGGTCATTCATTTGCAAACGAGTTTGGTGTTATTGGCACAGTGGCTTCTAAAATCTGTAGTCAATCTGTAATTGCTCTCATTTTTGTCTGTTGAAAAAGAGAAGATTTATTAACGCATCTCATTGACACCATTGAACTTTGGCCTAGCTTTAAGATATGACCCGTGTATAAAAACCCCATTTCAAACCAATCATTGTAAGTATGCAAATGTCAATAATAACTAGCGATTGTTTTCTAAGTAGGTTTATTAAAATGTATCTTATGAAATAAAATCTCTACAACGCAAAATTGGTTAAAAGAATATGATATCCATTTACAAATATCCAGCAAATACCTACCTTTTGCTAGCTGTCTGTTAAACATGTCTTCCTTTTGATGGGACATTATGATGTGTTATAGGCTTAATATTTGTGCATAAATTTATACGAATAAACGTTTGATAAAACTGGCAACATTCAACGCCAACGATGTCTGGAATGTTTGAGAATTAAGTATTTTGTTATTTTAATAAATATTTACACCAATTCCTATCCAATAATACACAGCTGTTCCTTATACCAACATGTTGGTATTAGTCACATACGTCAGCTTGAAGCTGTCAGAGAAAATACAACACTATACATGTTAGTGGTGGTCACCTTTAATGGAGAAGTATCGTACGAACGCGACGTGGATGTGGCGACATAGAAACCGTAAACTGTACTATTTACAAAGCACAAAGGAAAGAATTCTTAACTTTTTAATTTTATATTAAGAAGGTTTTCCCAAATCTATGATTGGATTGAGTATTCGTGTATAAATCATTACTATTATTCTTGCAAAAAGCATTGTAGTTTTAATGAGCTAAACCTTCAATTGGTTCGAATAAAGATAGTGCGACAAATATATTTCAAATAGAAGTAATAAGAGTAACCATGTTATTTACCATTGAAAATAATTCCCAAATATATCGGGAAATTGTTCATGGAAAAATGCGCAAATCTTATATTTTTTTACGTGTGATTGTAGTTTCCTCCAAAATTAACCAATATCTAACCTGATAAAATTGTTCAGAAGGTATATCTTTTGCCTTTCCGTGATATGCTTAAAATATATTTGAACATTCTGATTATCTTTAAACTTCGTAGACTATAAACATATATTCTTTTTACCTTTATCGATATATTTAACTATGTATTCTCGGTGATAATCACCTTCACACTCTACTCCATTCCGTATTGAAATCACAGACCCCCTAATGCAATTGTAGTTCAAATAATGCTATTAATAAAAGAAGTTTCGGGCATAATGAGATCAAATTATTTTTTATTACTCAATCTTGGAACAAAAATAAAAATATTTTTCGTTTTTATACGAATTAAACAAAAATAGTTTGACTTAAGAATAAAATTTCAAATGGAAACATTGGAAGAACTTCGAATAAATATCTTTCCATAAAATCAAGGCAACGTTTTGATATTAAGTTATGTAACAAAATCTATTTTATTTTTATTTACAGGTTGCAAATGTAGAACTTTACACAGCACTTTCAGCACGATGAATGTCTACCATAAGTCAGTCTCACACTCTCAAAGTAAATGTACAGGAGGGTTGACAACATGTTGGTTTCAGCTTATGTTAAAATATGGATGAATAAGGTGAACATAATTGGGATGTTTGAGCCCACGAAAGGTAACAAACAAGTCAAGAACTTGTAGATGACAAAGCTTCAAAATTGCCAACTCTAATTTGCGGTGGTATGCCGATTTAAACTGCTTTCTTTGTATGAACTGTCTTATATATCAACCCATTTCAGCATACGAATAAGTACAGTTAAGGCTTAAGCTGCTGCAGGAGTAATCCAATGGCTGGACGCCAACATCTTCGTCTAATTCTGCACAATCCATGGAGCTACTTGTGTTCAATGGTTCATCAGCGGGAATTTCGACGTCAACTGGTATGTACATATGAAATGGCCGTTGTTCCTTTAACCATGGAGACAAAAATATGTGCTCTATTGGCACCCGATCGTTGATATTTTTCCTTAGCAGCGCTAATAGGAGCCACCTGGCCGAACGAGATAAATGACCCGGAAGCTGTACAAAACATTGGCGAATAATGGAAATAAGATTGCTGTTTCCTTTTACAAAGAATGGGTAATGTCCAACAAGCATGGTATACAATATGACACCTAATGCCCACATATCTGCAGGTTTGCCTCTATACTTTGGTTCGGGACAAAGCAATTCCGGCGCAGTATATAGCGGACAGCCAATTTTCTCGGTTAGTGTGTCATCTTCGGGATTATCAAGAATCATCGAGCCCTCAAGAGATTCATATTGCAGTTTTGTTCTGAAAAATAAAATAAATTGTACTCATTAGTTTTCTATGTTTTCAAGAGTGTTTACGTAAATTAAAAAGAGTATTGCAAGATATTCTAATTCTCTTGCTCGTCGTACAGCACAGCAACGCCCAGACATCTGCATGTTGTAATAAATTCATTGCCAACACGATCACTCATAAACTCAATCGTAGTAATACACGACATTCAGTCAGCGGTGATCGCAACAACACCCAAAACCTAAAATTTCAACAAGTATTACAACAATGCACGAAACCTCGAACTGACCCTGATATCAATACTCAAACACATACAAATTCAACCACACAATCACAAACTGTTGCTTTTGGTTAGAGAAGAAGAGCACGGCAACTCCATGAATCGTTAAGACACACTGCCAGATACAAGGTGAAAACATTTAACAGAAAGAAGAGAGAGAACGCTAGTCGCACCAGCTATTTATGTAGGGGTAAACATACTATACAGAAATAAAAACACAATTACCCCGAATGACCTCGAATCGATTTAAGAAAAAATATGAATAGGGCAAAGATAATTTGTTGATGTTATTTTGCAATGTAATAATAAAAGAATGGATAAATAAATAAAGCGATTGACTTCAAAACTTAAATAAAAAACTGTGTACTTTATTTCCCGATACGAGCATATTGTCGAAAATAAATTTCGTTTATAGACCAAATGTTCAATGACCTTAGAAATATGTGTTTTTAGGCAAACGTGACAACTTGTGTGAATCGAGTATTGGGCAATTCAATTTCAAGACAATTTTAATAACGTCACGACTATTGCAGCCGAATTTTCTACTGTATTTTCAACAGGAAATTCTTTTTTGTTTTTCTTCTAGTCGGCATCATATAAAGCGAATTTACAAAAAGATCCGTAGGCATCATACTTTAAGAACGTGTTTCTAAGTTAAAGGAGAAAGAACTCATTTTTTTATAAGACTAATGAATCTCAGAAAACGAACATACGAGTATATGTTCGCTAAGCCAAATTGTTAACATTTTTAGGAGCTTCAAAACATAATTCCAATTGCCGTTTTTTACTTTTCTTGATGGTACACATATGATCTAAACCGATCCTTAAGCCCTTAGTAATATATTAGCGAAGTTTTCTTTATTTCAAATTGGCTTTTTGTTGTTCCGAGAAAGAATACTTTTTAGTTCAACAATTTCAAAACAATTTGCAGTCACTGCCGTAGATAAATTAGACGAGGAGTGTTTCAATGTTATTGATTTCGACATTTCAAAAACGTTCAATGTTACCAATACCAAAAATACTTTTGTATTCAGTTTAGCTGTTTGTCTTTCGTCGCTTGAAGTTTTTATCTCGTTATTCATTTGCTTGTTAATGCCAATAACGAGTTTAAACTTTGATGTTGGAAGGCTAACATATCTACATTTGTATGCGAGTGTGTGTACTACAAAATCATGTACTGATGTGTGTAACAAGATTAAACCTCGCCGTGTAATGATTTTAAGAATGAACTCCGTCGGTGTCATTACATACCATAGTACCAATACTTTTTAATCGATCTATTGTATCTTGCCAATCTCTAATCCAGAACGAGATTACCCAAGACCAATAGATCTCTAAATTTACAAAATATTTCATAATTACCTTGCTTCATCGACGAAAAAGAAACGTTTCAATTTAAGGTCACGTAAAATAATTCCGTTTCTGTGACAAATAAGAACAGTCTCACAAATCTGGTGAAATAGCGTCCGTGCCTCTGTTTCGCAGAGTCGATGGTTTTCCCTGAGATATGTGTGCAAATCCTCATATACTTCGGAGGCAGTGCTACAAGAATCCGAACTCTTGTTGCCTGGAGCTAATATAATATAGGTTCGTAGCTTATCCATCGGCACAATGTCATGCGCTTCCCGTATCAATTGATGCCCATAAATGCTACTGCAGCGTTTTTCACCTTCCATTTGCAATTTAAAATAGGCTTCTTGCACCTTATGGAAGGGCTCGTTGATTATTTTTACGGGATACTGCTCCTCCGTATAAATATCAGTACATACAAGATTGGACAGGCTCATGTCCACCAAATGGCGGTAACTCGATTGTCCCTTGGAGTCGCCCGCATTATTAGGCCTGGCGCATATTATATATTTATCCTTTATTACTTTGACGCCAGAGTCGACGCTACAGTCCGAACGCAAGGATTGTAGTTCAAATACACCACCCGGTGTTGCCAGTTTCTTTCGTATTGTCTGCAGCATTACTGTATCCAACAAATGCTTCTTTGGTGTACTAAGAAGGGTGGCATATGCTGCATTTGGAGAGCAGTTATTAGTAATCACCGATGTTCTGGTGAAATGTCTGTTTGACCTACTATCCGTTGCTATCGAGGGCGACGACGGGGTTGCAGAATATTCTGTTTTAATAGCAGCTGCTACAGGAGAGTTCATGTTAGACGTGGCAAGTGTTACAGCTGTATTTCTTTCCATTGTGTATTCCAGATTCCTTAACAAACAGAATCGCCTTCGTATTTTCGTACTTCAATGTGTTTGACACAAAAATATTTTATAATTTTCTTTATGTATATCTGATGGGTATCACAATGCCAACTTTGTATCTTTTCTAATTATCCACAGAATACTCATTTGTATCTTTTAACTACTGCTTTAATTTCTGCACGTTTTTTGTTTTGTAATATTGAAAAAACTCGCGGAGTACTTGGCTAATTCTTTAGTATAAATTATATTCTCTTCAAATTAGCTGATGCAAGAGTTTACGAAATTTTAATGCACAAACATATGCCGATGAATTTATTTTCTTAGTTATCTTTGTTACTTTTTTCTTTCTATATTTTTAGATTAGCATTTTAGCACTTTTTATATTACAATTTATAAAATTAAAACAAAAATTTCTCGCCACCTCGTTGCCGATTTGTTGAATGGCTGAAGATCTAAATACGAATGAATATAGTATATGAGTAATGTAGGTATATATGAAGAAGAAGAGATTAAAGAGAGCGAGAGTGTGCAAAACCCTCTTGTTGTTGCTATTTCTATGGGAAAAAAAGTATCTGAACGAACGTCCAGAGAACATTTTTGAAAATAACGCCTGAAACAAGAGAAAATGAGAGCGCTTTTATCAGTGTATGTGTGTGTTACTGAGAGCAAATTCAAAAAGAGAGCGGAGGTAGATATTTCAAAATGATGCGTAAATAAAAACGTTCAACGTTTCTTTGTTAAAGGCACAACACAAGCGTTTGATGCGTCATTATAAAAAAAACTACAATTATTTTTGATTCTTAATTATTATAAATCAGCCAACAGGCGTTTTATTGAATAAACATTATCATAAAATGGTACAGAGATTACATTTGTAATAAAAAGGCGCTCTTTCTATATTCCACAGCCATTATTATTCCTTCATTTGACTACTTCCTCCACCATTCCATTACATTATACTCCTCATTTCAAATCTCCCAAGCCATTTGGATGTCTGCATCAAATCTTTATTTCCTCCACTCCATATCTTCACCCACCGATCAACTTGTTTCACATAAAATTCTCTCAAGAGCAGCAACTCCCTCCACACAAGGATATTCCACTTAACATCTGTCCATTTCTATCCATGTGTTTCTTAGGATTTTACAATTTAACCTACGGAAAATCCATCTCCAATTTGAGTGTATTGGTACAGTTGTGTTTCAAATTCCTTCGTCCTGTCGAAAAGACCCTACATTTTTCAGCTGCTACTTGTCATTGCAGGTAAAAATAAAACGCACTTCTAAACATACATCCCTTACATGTGTAGGGATGTGAATGCAGCTGTTGCAAGGTGTCTTCGTTGCAAAGAAACAAACAATCCAAACGCACAGACTCATATTTCGGAATTCTTCTTTGCCTTAGGGTAGTTTCATTCATTAAAGATACATCCAACAAACAATCCCCAACAACGAAGACACACTTCTGCTTTACAAAAATACTTCTTGCATCTTTTCCCACGCCATTCCTAGAAACACAAATGTAAATTAGAACCATCTACGCGTTCATTTCTATGTGCACAAAATACCTGCCCTCCTTTGACCATAAGCGTAATAGACGGATTAATCTTCATCTTTGCAAATCTAACATCTGTTACACCATAATTCAGGTAGTAAGCAAGTTGAAGGACGGAAATTCCATATCCAATACGAACATTATTTTCTTAATCCCTTTACTATTCTTAACGAGGGAAAATACACACACAATTGCCTTGTCATTTTTGCAATATGACTTACAGTTTGAGAAGCACTGTACATACCAACCGGTGTTGCCATATCTCCTCTCATCACCAGCGTTGCCATATGTCGGCACAGCGCCACCTGTCACCATCTGTCAAACTGACTTACAGTTTGAGAGTCCCACAACCGCGTTGCCAACTATACTATATTTTCCTCCATTTGTAGTGTTGCCACATATCACCACGTTGCCAACTGCTTCGGCGTTGATAAATTGCCGTACGCCCTATCGTATTACGCCAGCAATATTTAAATGGTAGAGTATCAGAAAGCTGTTTTATATACGAAAATGAGTGCATAACGGAACAGCAGCTGCATTGTCCCAAAGAATACTTGTACTTAAATTATTAATGCATGTTTTATATATCTTTTCAGATCACTCATCTAAGAACATATTTTCAAATAAAATGAGACATATAGTTTGCTTGCTGGATATAAATCCTGACTGTTTAGTGAAAATATTTTCATTCTGCAGCGAAAAGGATCTACAAAACCTTTGTAAAGTACATTGGATGCTGAGGCAAGTGATTGAAAATAACATCTTTAGCATCAAAACGCTAGACTTACTTATGTGTGGTCGTCGCAATAACCCGATCATAATGCAACGGTAATATCAAAGTATTAACAGCACCGATAATCCCATTGTTACAGATTCTTTACTACGTCCAATTGTTTGTGAAGAATGCAAACAATTGCATTTCATAGACAATTTTACTTGAATGACGGTTACTAAATTTCTGTTATGTAGGGATCATAACAAATAATTTAATATTTATTAATTTAATTATAACTTTTTAGCACCCAGTATGCACTATCTTTTGGCAAACGTATGGAAATTTCTAAGAATTGGTTAAATGGCTGCTATCGTGAGCAACAATACTTTCACCGTACTAAAATGTTTCCAACCAAACTCTTTCTTGATAAAGAATGGCTGTACTTGTCCTACGCTTGTTATATTAGCCAACATAAGCGTTTAAAGAATGAAGCAGTTCAAAGGAAGTATTTTCATGAGATTTCGTCAAAAAACAACAACGACATATCAGATTTTACCAAGAAACATGAGTCCATATTTGCTGGCAGAGTATCAGGAGGCTGTTTTATATACGAAGATGAGTGCATGACGGAACAACAGCTGCATTGTCCCAAAGAATACTTGTGGTGTGTTGACTTTGAAAGAAATTTATATGTTACAAGTACTGATCACTGTTCTAAAATATGGAGAAGATCAGAGGAAATGGGATTGCTACATCTGGATTTAGTATCAAACTTGAACGGCTCATACAAAGCTCTGCAGTTCAGTAATGATGGGTTTCGTCTTTACGGTGGTCTTTACGATTCAATTATAGATCGCCGTGCACTGCATGAAATTGATGTGGAAAGGTAGGTCAAAGTATATAGACATATTTTTAAACCTTCCAGTATACTATGACGGGTACATTAGCTTCGTCATTCGTTTTGTAAATCCCCAAAAGTCATAACTGACCCTACAAAGTATATAATCTTGTTCAATGTTAAAATACTTTTGTAGTTGTTGTATATTATTGGTTTATTCAACTTTTTTAACAAATTCTTTGAAATATTGCATTTAGGATCCTAATATGAATCTGATCCTTCGCCATTGTTTTGTAAATCCCCAAAAGTCATAACTGACCCTACAAAGTATGTAATCTTGTTCAATGTCAAACTACTTTTTGTACTTGTTGTATATAATTGGTTATCAACCTTTAAAAAAAAAATTCTTGAAATGTTGCATTTTAGAATCCTAATATGTAAATGATTCAACACTGTACCTATAAAACGGTTGCTCCCTACACTGTGAATGGTTTTAACGGCTGGAAGACCTGTAATTTGACATTTTTACCCTCGAAGTAGGGAGCCACCTAGAAAAAAACTAGAACATAGGTTCATATATTAGGGTACCGCTCTATTTCGGTATATTGGAGTGTTAACCTCATTTTACGGCAGTAACACCTGTATCATGGCC